TATTGATAGAGATGAGATAGTTACCAGAATATCTATAACAACAGGAACAAGAGAAGCAAAAAATTCTGGCTGAGCGTTGAGTTTTTCAGTAGCGTAACGAACACCTCGTCGAAGAATACGACGCAGCACATACCTAAACAGCTTCACACTTCATAAGCTAGGATTTTTTCTTTAAAACGTCGACACCAACCCTCTTCCGGTATTATCGGGTCGACCGCCATCAGAAAGAGCTATCGTAAGAGTTCTGATGTGATCAGCCACTACTCGGTAAGCCATGTCTACACCATCAGTATCATCAGCGCCTACTTTGCCGGTGTATTCACGTATTCCAGTGCCCTAAAATTCAACATTTGGGCAATTTCTAGTTTTCGTGCTAGAAAGCATAGAGTACATCTGTAGTACAAGGAAGACACGTTCACAGTAAAGGTGTAGAGCCACATACCTGCTGAATAGCTCTAAAAATAGGCTGGAATATGTCCGTATCGTAATTAGATGTTTTCTGTTGGATGACTGCGATCAACCGCTCGAGTCCCAGGCCACAGTCGATGTGTTTTGCTGGCAGAGGTCGCAAAACACCACCTTCTTCCCTAGAAAATTCCACTTTATTTGTAGGGAAACTTCAAGTTATACTTTTTTAAATCCTCAAAGGTACCTCAGAAAAGAGAAAACAGTGTTACTTGGCACATAACCATCTCATAAGAAATGAATTTGCGAAAGCATGTTACGAGACAGATAAAAAAACAGGAAAAAAATGAATAGGAAGAACAAAGCACAATAGTCTTGGAAAAAAAAACTTGTCAAAAACTTTTTGAAACGAAACTGACCTATTAAACTGGATAAATACCAAATTCCATATCTCCACCACCATTGGATCGTCAGCGTTAACAAGATGCGCAGCATCACGACCACCGACACGATCATAGTGAATTTCTGAGCAAGGACCACATGGCCCTACGTCACCCATCTCCCAAAAGTTATCTTTCATGCCAAAAGGCAAAATACGGTCATTAGGCAACCTAAACTCTGTACAAAGTCTTGAACCTGAACACTTTAAAAAATGGAGAGAAATTTACCCAAGACTTGACCATATGCTTCTGGCCTCTTCATCTGCCGGAATGCCTGCCTTTTCATCACCACCAAAGTAAGACACGTATAGACGATCAGCAGGTATGCCATACACTTCCGTGAGAAGTTCCCAGGCCCATGTGATAATTTCTTTCTAAAAATT